CCTTTCTAAAATTCTAGTGTGGACTGCTGGTTTAGAGCCTACTACTTCTGTGCCCAATATAATTATCATATTTCCAATTATTGCTTGTGATGTATGAGTACATAATATGATTTACCCACATTATGCATACTGTTTTATATTTTTCTTAAAAATTTAATTTGATTGTGTATTTACCGGATTTACCTTGAATATTCATTGAATTGTATGTTTCTGTATGTTATATATTTATAGCTTCTCCTAAAAATGAATCAACCAAAGAATGTAATGACATTAAATCTGATGAAACTGATAAAAGTAAAGTTTATAACGGTTCTGATGATGTAAAAATTGAAGATCCTAAGCTTTCTAATGAACAACATTCACTAATAGTAGAAAATGGAACAAGTGACTCTAATGAAGAGGTAAAACACGATGTAAGTGTGGAGTCAAATGCAAAAGAAATAATAGATACTGATGATACAAATGAAGTTAAAGAAAATGAAACCAAACAATGTAATTTAAATGATAGCTATCTTGCAATAGATGTAGGTTTAGAACATAAACCAGTGCGCATTGATGATAGTGTCATATTAGAGCAGACATCTAAGAAAGATATTCGTCAAAAAGTTTGGGCATTTATGGAAGAACACTCTCTTGTTATATTTCCAAAGCCTTGCTTTAACCGTATACCAAATTTCAAAGGATGTAATAACGTTTCACTATTATTAGAAAAGTTAGAAGAATTTAAAAAATCAAAAACAGTCCAAGTCACTCCTGATAAAGCTCAAGAAACTGCTCGTTTCCTGACACTAAATGTGAGTTCTTATTTTATATTTTTAATTTAATGTAAAGGAAAACATTAATTACAATTTCCTAACTAAATTTTTCTGTTATATTAGATGTAAAATAATAAAATTAATAAACTAAACCTTAATTTTCTAGTGGGGTAAGAGATTATTAGTCCCCTTGCTTCGTTTGAAGGAAGGACTCTTGCAAAATGTGTCKGTGCCATTTGCTGAACCATCAGTAAAAATGTTGAGATCAGCTAGTACTCAAAAAGGACTTCGTAAATGGGGAAATAAATTAATAACTTTGGATCAAAACAATGACATTCATATAGACATGATTATTCTGGGATCTGTTGCTGTTGATAAAAAAGGTAATATCTAAACTTTTTGTTTGTTTTTAATTAATATTATTGAATTATTTTATCATTAGGTCGCAGAATTGGTATTGGAGATGGATTTTGTGATTTAGAATTTGTCATCTTAAGTTCTATGAATATGGTGACTGATAAAACTGTAGTAGTTACTATTGTACATGATRTACAGGTATGTGATATTTATTATTTAATTAGCATTAGCAGTATTGCGTAGCTTACAGCTATATAAAAAAAAGCATGTTTTCATAAAATTTACTACTAGCTGTCATAACTCCGCTGT